CGAGCGCCCAAACCACCTGGCCATGCCGGGCTCTTTACATTTATCTCACAATGAAGTTCATTGACCTTTTCTGAATGTCACAGCTGCGAAATCTCGTGACACGTGCGTTATGTTGTTTGATTTCGAACTGTTTGTTCTCATAAACGACACCTTATGCACATAGGGGACTAAAGGCCAGAACAGAAAATCCTTAACCTAACCATTAAGCCACGCTCGGGCCCGATGTTTTAAAAAGCCAACTGAACTAACGAAATTGCTTATTTAAAAAAACAACAAAAAAAAACTTTAAGTGTATGTTCATTAAGTTTTGTTTACACAGTTATTTAATACATATAAAAAGAAGGCACCATGAATATGTGAACTGTGATATATGTGCATATAAATTGGACGTTAACATTTCGTAAGACCTACTTCATCCAACGTTGCAAATTCCATTGTAACCAGCTTCTGCGAAGTCTGGTGAGGTTAAAGTTAGACTACACATCTTGACAGTTTTTCCATACATCCTCTATTGTAGACAGGCGTCAGCTTCGTAGACAACGTGCAAACACAAGGCGTAAAAGTCCTTTGGGGATGCGTCGCCGGAATTTGACAAGTATTGTGTCAAATTGTATTACCAAGATTCCATCTACAGATTTACAGAAGTGTCTGAAAACTTAGAAACTTTTATTTTCTGAGCCTTCTTTACCGTTAACTCTTTTCTATATTTTTTTATTGACGGTGACAGGAGATCGCCCGGTTTCACTGCAATGATGTGTTTTGGGGAGCAGGAGTGGAGGGGTCTCTTTCGTAGTCATAGCTTTGATTGGTTTGTTTTGAATTTCGCGCAAAGCTACACGAGGGCTATCTGCGCTAGCCGTCCCTAATTTAGCACTGTAAGACTGGAGGGAAGGCAGCTAGTCATCACCACCCACCGCCAACTCTTGGGCTACTCTTTTACCAACGAATGGTGGGATTGACCGTCACATTATAACACCCCTTCGACTGAAAGGGCGAGCATGTTTGGTGGTACTGGGATTCGAACCCGCGACCCTCAGATTGCGAGTCAAACGCCCTAACCACCTG